TAGGCAGAATCTAGTTGTTGGAATCATGTCCAAATTTCCTTGAGAGGGCCTGTGACTTTCCACTGAGGGACATAGCCAGCTTTAGGCCTCAGAGAAGGAACCAGAAACATACCTACCTTAACCTTGCTCTTCTTCATCCCTCAGACCTTCTGTGAGGGTTCCCCATTGGCTGAACTTAACTAGAGACCAGAGGGCAAAGGAGCCGCATTCACTGTATGATCTCACACTTCTACCCTGGCAGCTGGACTTGGGATTTTCTTTTTTACTTTAAAAATATATATAGTAAATGTAATTTATATAAATCCCAGATCATAAGTTAGCTCTGTTTTGTCAGTTGGATATATTCATGTAGTCAATATCCAAAAGGAGACATAGAACATTTTTATCACTCTAGAAAATTTCCTTATCTCTTCCTAGTCAATCCCCTCATTCCACAGTTTCCTTAAAACAAAACAAAACAAAAAAAACAGGCAACCACTCTTCTGATTTCTATCATTATGATTATTTAGTCTGTCCTTCAACATCATGTAGGTGGAATCATACAGTATCTGGCTTTTTTTACTCAAAGTCTTCAAACTTCATGTTGTTGTGCATCAATAGTTTGTTCCTTTATATTCCTGGAAGTATTCCACTATTTGAAAATGCCACAATTTGTTTATTTAGTTTCCTGTTGTTGGATATTTGAGTTCTTTTCATTTTTGGACTAATATGAATAAAGCTGCTGTAAACATTCTTCTCTAAGTCTTTTTGTCAGCAATTGCCCTTATTTCTTTGGGTCTATTCCTAGGAGTGGAACTGAAGTCATAGGGTAGGTGACCTTGGCTTTTTTGCATTTTTAAATAAAATTTTTATTTTAGAATAGTTTTAGATTTACAGAAGTATTACAAAGATAGTACAGAGAGGTCCTATATACCTCACACCCAGTTTCTCCTATTGTTGACATCTTACATTAGTATGGTACATTTGTTACAATTAATGAACCAGTATTGATATATATTATCAACTAAAATCTATACTCTTCAGATTTCCTTAGTTTTAACCTAATGTCCTTTTTCTGTCCATGATCCCATCCTAGAATACCACATTACATGTAGTTGTCATGTCTGCTTAGGCTCTTCTCAGCTGTGACCATTTTTCAGACATTCTTTGTTTTGGATGACATTGAATTCTTGTCAGATATTTTGTAGAATGTACCTTAATTGGGATTGTTTGTGTTTTTCTCATGATTAGACTGAGGTTATTATGAGTATTGGGAAGGAAGATCAAAATGCCATTTCATCATATCACATCAAGTTGAGTTTTTTGTAGAAGCAAAATGCCATTTCATCATATCACATCAAGGGTACATGCCATCAACATGACTTATCACTGATGTTGACCTTGGTCACCTGGTTGGTGTTGTGTTTGTCAGGTTTCTCCACTAGAAGGTTAGTCTTCCTCCCATTTTCATACTGTGCTCTTTGGAAGGAACTTACCTTGCGCAGCCTACCCTTAAGGAGTAGGGAGTTGAGGGTAGAGTATCTCCATAAATTATTTTGAATTTCTCTGCATGGGAGGTTTATATTAAAATTCTTAAGAAACCAAAAAAGAGTTTCTAAAGCGGTCGTTCCATTTTATACCTGGACAGGCAATGTCTGAGAATCCACATGCTCCTCATCCTCACCAATACTTGCTGTTGTCAGTCTTTTAAATTTTAACCATTCTTGTTGGTGTGAAGTAGTATCTCACTGTGGTTTTAATTTGCATTCATGATAACTAATGATGTTGACACCTTTTCATGTGCTTATTGACCATTGCTGTATCTTCTTTTGTGAAATACGTGTTTGATTCTCTTGCTCAGTTTTTAGTTTGGGTTCTCGTCTTTTTATTATTGAGTTGCATTTTTTGTATATTCTGGGTAAAAGTTCTTTGTTTAATATATACATGAAATACTTTCTTCAAGTCTGGGGCTTGTCTATTGGTTTATCTAATGGTGTCATTTGATGAGCTGGATTTAAGATTTTAATGATGAGATTTGGGGTCTGGTGTTTGGTAATGGGCCCTCACACGTTCTGTATCTTATGCTGCTAAGTTTTCATTATGAAGATTAGTGATATGCTGGTGGGCATAAGGATTGTAAGCACACTTTCTTTTTAAGGCATCTGATATTGCATTAAAAGAAAATTTCCAAAGAAAAGTTGAAGGCTTCCTCATTGTGACAATAATTGTGTTGCTGGGTGTGGAGATTCCAGATATATAAGGTCTCTTTGAGTAGCAACTGCCAATGCACAGAAGAAGCCCATGTAAGAAGACAACATTCTGTCCTATGCCAGCTACCCACTCTCATTTTCCAAAAAGCTTTGACGTGATTATGAATAACGCAGTGCAAGAGGGGACATATGCTACATGCTGGTCATGTCAAGTCCTACAGACACTGAGGAATCGAGCCTGGGAAACAGTAATACAGCAGCTGCTGCCAGCATTTTCCCCAAGATTTGATGACAGGTTGCATAAGCCTTTTAAATATTAACAAAAAATGGAGAGAAGCAGAAGCCAGACTCCTCTTGGAGAGGAAGAAAGAATTCCTCTTAGGAAAAGTGGCATCATGTGATATTAAATATTGACTCATAACATGGGTCTGGGAGATGCTTTCAGGCTTCTTGAAATACTAGCAATAAAGAACAAGTTTTCTCTGTTAGAGTTCATGTGTGAACTCATTTGTCAGCCAATTCTGACATACCAATCTAACTGAAGCTTTGCTTGGTTCTAACACTGATAATGGTAATTCCAACCTTTTATATTTGCTTTTGTATTTGTGATAAGGTTTGATTTTGGTAGTAAGCATAGTTTCCACATTGAAAAGCCTGTATAGGGTCTAATTTACATCAAGTATTGGCTTCTAAGTTGATATCTGTCAATTCTTAATTTAGGGTAATACTTGTAATATTTAACTTTGGAGAAAAGTACACAGAAGATCATTATATGCTTATTCTTGAGTACCTAAAGTGTTCAGAACTATAAAAAGATTCATTTTTATTTTCACTGGGATACTGTGATTTCTGGCTAGTAATGGCTCTGAGCTCCTTGACTTCCCCGGGTTCCACTTATATTCTAGAATTCTCCATTTGTCTACTTACCATTAATCCTGCAAAACTCAGAAAAAATAATAATGGCTTAAGGAGGAAATAGCCACGGCTTAATGTAAAAGGTAAGAGATAAAGTCAGAACGCCCTTATTTGCAAAGAGGAAAAAAAAAAAAAAA